TATATAATTGCATATTTAATATATATTCGTGTGAACTGATGAAGAGATTGCATCTTTTTTTCCGGGATTTTTATTTGAATTTTTTTATTATGTTATTTTATTTTATTTCAATAATTTTCTTCTCCTTTCATTGTTCTGTAGTTTCTTCCAAGTTTTATTTAGTGCGCATAATCTGCAAATACATTGAACCTATAAAATAAGTTAAAAATACAAAGAAAACAAGATAAAGAGTGTGAGAAGTACCAGAAGTAATGAAACAAAAATAAAACATATCAAGCAAGTAATAGAAATTTAAAAAAAAATTAAGAAAAATGCACAGTAAAACTCTAACTGTACAGCGAGTTGTAAATTCAAATGTCTTTACATTTTCCGGCATCTTTAAAAAATGATTTGAGAAGGGAAAATGAGTTTGCCAGATTTCAAAATATGAAAATAAAAACGTAAATAGAGAATAGTGGAATTTATTTTATGAGGCGTTCTTACTGAAGTACAGAATTGCATTTTATTGGCCAGTTACATTGGATTGTCCCGAAACTGGATGTGCCCAACTTATATTATACTGGATCATTCAAAGTTTATAATTAATGAAAGTTCAAATTTTAATTTGTACATTTTAATTTTGATGATTTTTAGGAAAATTATTAACATTTATTGAAAAAAACTCTTTATTAAATATTAGATTTTTAGCCAATAATCGGATTTGCAATTGGTAAAAATCTAAATTTAGTTAACAAAGACATTTAGTAAATTCGTTAATATTTATAACATGGAATTAACCTCAATGATTTAATTCAAAATTTAATTATATCAGTTGGGATATCTATTTTTTTAAAATCAAATTTTGGATTTTTTTTTTTTTTGATAAATAAACATCACTTACCTTACAGTAATAAACTTACTACTTTTTGGATACTTAAACATTAATAATTATCGTCATGATTACGAAGCAAGATTAATTCCTTGGGCGGTAAATGTTATTTACCAAAATTGTTTCCTTTTGAAAATGAAAGATAACTAAATCAGCAATAAATCTAAAAACAAATTTAATATTAAGAATATAGATTTTTTTAAAAAGTGTAAATATAACTTAGCTGAAAGTGAAGAAAAAATAGATATCTATTGTATTCCATCTATTTGAACAAAAATAATTATTAAAAAGACAAATATTAATTAAAATTTCCCAATAACCAATATTGCAATTAAGGATATTTTTATAATTATATAGTAATAACTCAAGGAACATCTTTTCGTTTCGAAAGGGAAATGTTATCGAAGAAATTTTGGAAATCAAAAGTCGCCATTGAATTAATTTTATTTGGTTTAATAAATTCTAAAATAGGTTGACTATTAGTGATAATCCAAGAAAAACCTTCTTTAGTGTTGTTAATAATTTTATTTAAGTAGCTAGAGAAAATGGTGTCAGGTTCAGTTATGTAAGATAGGTTTAAATTTAATAGGAATTCTGTGAAATATTGGACTAATTAAGTATGGAAATTGTATATAATTGCATATTTAATTTTAAATTTTAACCTCTAATCACTAAAATTTCTTTAAAGATATTATTATTATTTAAATTACTAAACTTAAAATGTTTACTATTTTCACACCTTATTTAAAAGTTCAACATAGAATTTTTATATAAGATTGCATTATATAATTGATGTAATTTTGATCGGTTTATATAATTGGTCTAAACTTTCAGACTATTAACATTAAATTCCTCCGTTGTAGGTTATATATAATATTTAAATTACCATTAATAATACGTTTATGAAGTTTATCAACAAATTCAAAATATTTCTCTTCCGCACAGTGACATTCATAATAGGATCTTCCATACATTTTTTCTAATATCATTATAATTAGAAATAGTTTTTACCAAGAGTTTTATTAGATACATAGCTTTAAGTTATGTTTCATTTCTTAACGAAAACAAATTCTTTAAATTGTGAAATATATTATACAATTTAAACATATCAAAAATAGGGTTTTGAAAACTAATAACAAAATGCAGGTTAACTAAATTTTTCTTTTTATTTGGTGACATTTAACTCATTTTGGCTTTTATAAGATTGAAACAAAGAATTTCACCGCGTAAATTAGTAAAAGAAAAGTTTTTAATAGTGTTTCGAAGCTTATAGAGATCATTATCTTTAAGGACCGAAACACAATATTTCATTTTAATGTTAAAATGCTTTGTGACCCAACAGATTCAACGTGCACCAGTCCCCATTTTCTAAAAGGAGAGTCTTCGTCCGGCTGGATTCGATCTCCCGTTCTCACGAACGTGAATCCAATACCCTGTCAACCATCCCCCGATCTACCAAACTCTCTAATCCGAACTTATAACGAATTTGTTCGTTTTACTTTATTCGTCAATCAGTTCCCAAATTGCTAAAATTCGGAATAAATTTGAGTTTATAGTAAATAAATTAAATTTCACCAACCTTAAAGACCCCATTGCTGATATTAATAGAGAGTTACTGTGTATATTGGATAAACTAAATGTACACCTTAACTTCGATTTAAAGGAACACGAAAGATATATCAACTTTAAAATGTTAAAAAGATTTTATTTAACATTTTAATGTTTAATAAAATCTTTTTCATTATTAGAAATAAAATTTACGTTTAATTTGTCACTGTTAAGAGAGTTTTTATAACATCCTGATCCCGGATTACCTCGATTTTCTTTAATGAGAGAAAGTAGAGGAGTTACCAAGATGTTGGAACATATGTAGTTGTTGTGTGTGTAGGTTGGAAGGTATCTTTTAGCTCATATGATGAAATTGTTTTGCGCAAAAGCATGCAATAATTTTCTTTTTGTAGTCTTGATTTAAAATCATCTATTAATGTTGAAAATATAAATATAAAGCAGGTCCCATCCAAAATGCCTGGGTTTTTCACTTTGTGCCAAATCCCAACATTCCTGCTATGGGAAACCATCAATATAAAATACGGAAAAAATCCAACGCGAGTTGTAAAATAAATTTTGTAAAAAATAATAAATTGTGTATTTATTTGAAATAGCCTAATTCTCTTTAAATTTCTAGACTTTGAAAGACATTTTATTTCATATCATAATTATCATGTAACAAATTTCCAACAAGTACAAATTTCTAGCACAGACTTCTCGGAAAATGTAAATTTTTTTCCTTCCATTTTATAATGCTGTATAACATTTTTGTCGCTAACACCAATTAAACAATTCTTTGTAAACAAATTTTCAGTAAAATGATGTAGCACAAAAGATTATGTAATCATTAAGTTTCAAGCTGATTTTTGGCGTATCATGTTTATTTGTGTTTTTTTTTTCTTTCTCTGCAGGTGCGTGCATTGCAACATTTATTGCAGACTTCAACATTTACGACTGTGCATTATCACACGAAGGTTATGACATTGCAATTCTTATGTGCAACAAGTGTACGCCTGTAATTCTCTCTCTTAAGGGTGTTTCTCGTTTGAAACATACTACTGCTAGTGATTAAACCATCACTTATGTCGTCCAATTTTAACATGTAAGCCAGATTTATAGCTCACAATTTTACGACCTGAGGCTGTTTTTTTCTTCCCCCACCCAAACAAAAGAAAAGCTCGAAATGGGAATTCCAGTAAACAACGAAACGTTAATCGAGAATCTAACTTACAAGGTTAGTCTGAGTCAAGATTACTAATGAGAAAAATTTCTTATCAGTATTCCTGGTTGCTTAGCAACTACATGATATCCTATATTGATTATTGATAGGGAAAATTGTGGAAATGTTTCTAATTCTTCTTTTTTGTCCCTAAGGGAGCTTTCTGTCATGTTTAGGGTCCGTCTTGTCAAAGATGGAAGTGTTCAGGTGAAATTTTATCTAATTCCTCTCCGTTGGTAGGTAACCAAGAAAAGTCTGATAAAATCATTTGAATTTACACATCAATATCAAACTTTCTTCTGTAGTTACTAAGCTTGATTGAGGAAAGGTTTTCGCTGAATACCATGGCGGCTTCTTTGATAGTTAACTAGGAAACTGTCCAAACAGATCAGTTGTCTACAGTTTGTCTATATAAAGAGTTCCCCTAGCAACGAAGTCAAAGGTCGTCTGCTGCTATGGAAACAAGAAGTAGCGCATTTCAAAAAGGGGAGCGTCTTTCTCCCCTGACTCCATCTCTCTCGCCAACCCGGGCCTGTCTAAAATAATGACCCAACACCCCTACTTGAAGTGGTTAAACCTCGTAACAATGGTCACCGCCGATACTCCGGAAGAATGGCAAGGAGAGTTTGTTACATAGACAAACTAGGCATATATATATATATATATATATATCTTACACGGCGACAAAAAANTTAAAAATTGCGGGAAAATTTATCGAATTTCGTTCCGGTTTTTTGGTTTTCCGGTTTTCTGATTTCCGGATAACGGGTTCTGTACTGTATATATATATATATATATACGGGAGAGTGTTGTATGTTGGACCAATTTTAACATTGAATTTTATATCAGAATATAATAGTTCACGTACATTGTTCTCCAAAAAAATTAAGGTACATCTTGTTTTCTGAGTCTAATTTAAAAATGAATGAACATAGAGGCATGAAATGTCTTCTCAACAACTCTCTATTAAATACGATACAGAAATTCATATAATTGTAAGCACCAAAATAACTTATCACGAAAAAACAATTTTCCCCAGAAATCCTTTTTAAGAGAAAAAAAATTTATCAAAGTTTTATTGAAAAAGTATTCTGAAATTTTTTTAAAAATATTTTAAAGTAAGTAATGCACTGAAATGATGTCATCAGCTTTGAATGTTTCCATTTAAGTTGTCGGGACGAAAGGGGAGCCACCCATGAAGCAACTTTTTCTCCAGCTCGGGTAACCACCATCGAAGTGGTATCAAAGCAGGGTAGTCCTAAGTATTCTCAATTGATTCAGGTCTGGAGATGTGACTGGCCAATCCATCCGGTGAATATCTTCACTTTCTAGAAAATCCTGGACATATGTGGTCGCATGTTATCATCTATCGAAAGTGGATGGTCCTTCTTTCTTTAAGAATCCTATTAAATTTCGATTTGCTTCTTCTTTAAATACACAAGTTACTTTAAATACTTCTTTAAATACTATGGGCCAAAACCGTCTCAGTAAACTTCCCCCTTTAAGAATCATATTATACGCTATGGTTCGCCAACGATTGATTTTTGTCTTGAGGTCTGTCTCTACAAAATCCAATCATCTTGTGTGCAAAGACTCAATCCGAAAAAAATGAGCAAAAGAAAAAAGTAAACACCCTGATTAACTTTCGTTCTAATGAGAAGATTTTCACGTATCAAGACTTTATCTTAATGATTCGAAGGACTAACCTGAAATATATTTTGAGTGACTAATACAGACGATATCAGAGACAAAAAGTTACTTTCCCTGAAAAAGCATACCTATTATTCGAATTCTTAACCCTAAAAATAATGGATATAGCCTCGATCTTGAGAATGAGGTCTCAGTAGCTAGGTCCAGAGAGAGAGAGATCGGGTCCCTTATGTTGATTTCTCTTTTTTTGCTTATTTCGTCATACCTCGAGAACTTCTAAAGCAAATCGAAAACTTTTTTCACACAATTATAAAATTTGTTTATCCAAAGATAATTCCATGCATGAAAATAAATTTCAATAATTATTTCTTATTATTTCATTTAATAATAGTAAAAGAATTGAGTTATAAGGTACACACGTGTTTTTCAACGTCATAAAAAATATAATTTTAAATGGCTATATTTTCAATAGTACGGTTAACCCCCATATTTTGTTGGTCAATGATCCAAATCCATCGAAAAAAGGTTCAGAGAATGGTTATTCAGAGAAAGCATGTTTTTGAGTTTGATTCAAATTGAGTTATTATATAACGGGAAATCCGATCATTAGATCTAAAGTTATTCAGGACGTGTGCTTTTTTATTTTACTCATTGCACAGTGCGTGAAAAAATTAACGGACAACCCTAAATGAGTTTTTATCTAATGGTCGACTCTTTACGTTCTAGAACTAATCTTAATGATTCGAGGAGATGGTCTCAAATATGCAAATAAATTAACGCAGACGATAGTATAAGTTACGAAATCGGACACAAAAGCGTACTTTCTCTGAATAATGACAAAATACAAAATTTGAGAGAAATCGGTCAAATAGTTCCTGAGAAATCTAATTTAAAAAGATTAAAAATTTAATTTCTTAGAAACTGTTAGACTGATTTTGCTCAAATTTAGTATTTCACCATCTGAAATTAAATCCTGTATAAAATAAAAGTAGATGTATAAATAAAAGTAGATGTACAAATAGAAGTAGATGTATAAATAATAGTAGATGTATAAAATTGTCTACCTTACATTTAAAAAATTTTTCGACTGTTATTAAGTAAAAAAATATATTTTTTGCATGTGAATGATCTTTGGATTATCGAATTTTTTAATTGCTGGCAAAAAAGTTTTGATCAACTATTTAAGTTCGCCAAAAATAAAATTAGCATGAAGGGGTCCAAAATTTCGGCCGCTCTCCTGGTTAAACTATGGGGACCCTATTTCCCAGATTGCGGCTACCCCCTATATTTTGAGGGTCAGTAATCCGAATCCATTGAACAAAAGGCACGTTTATTCAGAGAAAGTACGTTTTTATGTATGTTTTCTTAACTTAAAATATCGTTTAAACTAATTAACTAACATATTTGAAGTCAACTCTTCGAATCATTAAGAATTAAGTCCTCAGAGGTGAAGGTCCAATTATTAAATAAAAAATTATTTGGGGTTGTCCGCTGTACACTCATGCTGTCTAAGATGCACTACTTCTTTCCCACTATATTAAAAATGATCATTACCGAACACCCTGTGAATTAAAAATTTCATAGTATAAATTTAAATTGGAAGATATAAAACAAGACTCCTTTTTTTCAAGTGAAGTGAAGCTAATTTTTTTTTCATCTATAAAAATACAGTAATAAAAGTGAAATTCTTATTTGATCTTCGGCGATTTTCCTAAATATTTTATAAATGTGAACTATAAGAAATGTTTGCTGCATTTCATCCTATAACATTTGTCAAAACCTTTAAATCTACGCATATGAAATTTTGTATTCATACAATTACTTTGTTTATATCATGTAACAATTTGTTTTTATAAAATAATAAAATTTACCTAATAATCAAGTCTCAATTCTTTTTTACTCATAATTTTTTCCCCGCTTTGGAAGCTTAATGAATTTATAATAAATTAAATACATTTGAGAATAATCTCTAAAATTACATTTCTATTACGTTTAGTTTACGTTAGAAAAGCTTTCATCTACGAACTGTTATAGGTGGGGGAAAAAAACCGGAAAACAAAATGAAAGCCCGCCTGATCAGAGGGAAAATTTTCAATGTTATTTCATTTTACATAGCGATATTTCAGACAAAAATCGAACATTTTGAACTCTTTTTTTTTTTTAATGAGCCTATCTAGTTCAGAATTTCTGCTTTTAAATCAAACCTTTTTTCGACCGATGGCGCTGGAGATAATCAATGTTTAAACCAAAGAAAAAGATTTGAAAATCACGAATTAGAAAACTCCGAAATCTTTAGAGCGTAAGAATAGCGACACACAAATACTGGAACCTGCTATTAATTTAACAGTGTTCGGACTCACTATTATGTTGCATAAAAATCATACAACAGAATTGATTTAACTGAAAGAACGGTCAAAAGATTTCTAGCATTATTTTGACTAACACGTAAAACGTAGACATTAGTACATAAGTGTTTCTTACATATGCAGAATAACAAAGAACAGGAAACCATGTCATTTGTGTTCCGATTTCTTCAACGAAAATCTTTTCAGGTTGAAATCTTTTCAGGTCGCACTTTGACAATTCTTGGAAGTAAAAAACAAAATAGTGTACGCACGCACCAACCAATTCGGTGGTAACAAATGTGTCATTTGCAATATAGATATTTGTCCATCACTTGGGTTTGTATCCAGAAACTGTTTGCATAAGTACGAAAATAGTTGGTTTACAAGAACAAGAAAAAAATTCTATAATTTTGGATCCAATGAACGAAGAGGGTAGGATGACGATTATATAGTTATTGATAATTAGCAAGCAAATATGAGTAAAACTAGCGTCTGCTTTTTTTGAAATTTCATTACGTTGCATTGTTTTTATCTTTCTTTTTAGTTTATACGTTGCTTTCCAAATTGCTTTTTTTCCGCATCTGGTAAGTTTTGAGAATGGGAGCCTTGAAACATCCTTCGTGCTATTTAAGCAAAATAAATAAAAATAAAGCACAAATGAAGTACAGAAATATAAATAAGAACCTTCCTCAGAGTCTAAACACTGAATCATTGATTATCGGCACAGATAGTATTGAATGATTTTAGTAAAATAAAAAGATAAAAAATCAAATCTGTGAGTAGAATTCCAACTATGCAGAGCGATGGAAGACCGGTTAATGTCCTAATTTTGGATATATCTTTCGTGTTCCTTTAAATCGAAGTTAAGGTTTAGTTTATCCAATATACACAGTAACTCACTATTAATATCAGCAATGAAGGTTGGTGAAATTTAATTTACTTACAGGGGGATTATAAACTCAAATTTATTCCGAATTTTAGCAATTTGGGAACTGATTGACGAATAAAGTGAAACGAACAAATTCGTTATAAGTTCGGGGGATGGTTGACAGGGTATTGGATTCACGTTCGTGAGAACGGGAGAACAGACGAGGACTCTCCTTTTAGAAAAATGGGCACGTTGAATCTGTTGGGTCACAAAGTCCTCCATGTTGCCATAACAAATCATACCTCTGAGGGTATTGGATTAGAGATTGATTGTTCTCTGGTTCAAGTCAAAATTACGATCTGTGAATACTGCCCTATATACTAGGTGTGACGTACAAGTGTGGCAGAAGGCGAATTCTTGGTTATAGATGGCTCCACTAGAAAACAAGAGCAATCGCACCCCTGCCTGCCATGATCTACGACAACAACAACAACAGAGAGTTTGGTTGATTGCGAGGTTAATTTTCTATAGATGATATCAATAACATGAATAGTAAAACAGCTGTCTACAGAGATAGCTTTAATGTAGAGGAGCTCTTTCTTGAGGAGATAACTATTTGAACACATTTTAGAAGAACGGTAAACAAGTGCCGGTAAGGTTTATACCGGCTGGTACTGTATGTAATAAAGAAATTTTTAAAATTTACGACTTTCCTCATGTGAGTTAACACTAACTACTGTGCGTGTTCTGCCAACGTATGGTTTAATTAGTTACGGGGA